CCTTTCTAACATAATGTACTGTTTTGCATAGGTGAATTGGACCCACATGGAGCTTCTTGCAGGATCCATGCTGTGTCTTCACTAGATGCTAAAGACGACTTTAAAGTGGTAGTATCAGGGAGTTTGTCCTTTTCTGGTTTGATTATCATACTAATTGTCCCAGCAGACTGGGACATCCTTTTAACTAGAAGATGAGATAATTTTTCCTCAGCTTACTTCCTGCATTTTATGATGGAACGCTTCATTTAATTATTCTACTGCAAAGCTATGTCAAACATTGACATGGTATTGTTCCTGGGACAACTTGCTTGAAAAATCTTGTAAACCTTGATTTAAACTCATGAGAATGTGTTCCTCAAAGAGGTATCCTTCTTCTGAAGCTACTCCATCTCGATCTTGGTGCTCATCCATACCAGTAGAACGTTGTGCCACAACTAACAAAGACTTGTGCTGTTGCTAACTTCAGGGCATAAGCCAAGCCCTTTTTTTGTGTGCTCCTATTTGATGAATGAACCTATTTATTTCCTTTGTGAAAAGAGCTTTCCTGACCAGTCTTTTGCACAAGAGATGGAGAGGCTCTGTTCTAACCAGAGTTTCTTGTGCAACCTGTGGTTGCTGTAGTGGTAGAGGCACCTCCTGTGTAAAGGAGTTCAGGTGGCCCAGTGAAAAGGGCTAGGATAGAAAAACTGAGTCCTGGAGGAACTCATATCTCAGCCAGACTAGCCAACCATCTGCCTTTCTGCCCAGTGTGTATGTGCATGTATGTACATGCTCTAATCTTCCAGAAGATTAGAAAAATTATATAATTGTATACATATATATAAAATTATATATGTTTCTGCATAACTATATATATTTATATAATTCTTCTCTCTTTATATCTTTCTTTTTTTCTTCTGTGCCATAATTTTGCAACCAGCCAGGTGCTGTGTTGTAACTTTTAACTCTTGCATTTCCTTGCTTATTTTTACCTTATGCTTTGTATAGGTTGTTTGGTTTGGGTTTTTATTTTGATTTAAGCACGCAGTTTTAGTGTCTTATCAACAAAGCTCTCTCTGAGAGTAGGATTTGGATTTAGATGTCTTGAGATGTAAATTTGAGTAGACTCAGTGTATAATCAAATCCCTCTGATTTAAGGATTGCTGACCTTGCTCCAGTGTAACCATCAATGTATCATTCATCTGAGGGAGCAGAATGGATCTTCTGGAATGTGAAGTAAAAGCTTGCTTGTTTGCTGCTGCAGTTTTGCTCATGACAACTTACTGCCACTTGCAGAGTTAGGATATTACTATGGTCCTAAGTAAACTGCTAATATTTTCTTTCTAATAAAATAGCTGGTTGAATGCTTGTGAAAAAAAATGAGTATACACATTTTGTGCTTGGTGGTCTCTGAAGGTAAAATGTATTAAGAGAATTCGTCATTTTTATAGGCGTGTAGAAAATATTTTAATCTCCTGAAAAAAGTGTGTGTGTGTGTATATGTGTATATATATATATATATAATATAGTGGAAACCTTGGAGGTGCAAGCATCTGCCCTTGCTGATCTCACTGCAGGAGTGTCTGTGAAATGTGTTACTGTACTGCCTCAAGGAAATTATCGCAAGATATGATTTGATATCCTCTGTGCAGGCAGCTAGACAGGTGTGTGTGTGTGGGTTGTGGGGGAAGAAGTGAGAGGTAGATAACTGGATGTCAACGGCCCTGTGGAGGGAGCAGCTAATATTTTTGAGTGTACGGTTTGAGTTTGCTGACACTATAGGGGTACTCTGATGACAGAGAGAAGCTCTGAATACTTGTCTGTTTTCACATTTCTAGAATTTACTTGTTAGTGCCCAGCGGCCTATAATCATGGAAGCCAAATCTGTGTGTCATCATACCTCGGTCTGCACTCACTGGTTTGCTTTTATTTAAAAATTAATAGTATGCTTTCTGTAACTTAACAGAAACACAACTCTTTTTAATAAAGATACTTTAAAGATTAGATTTTCTCCAGATATTTTTCTAAATATTCTCATTTGGTTTGATGTAATATATGCATATCGTTGTCTCTTTGACTGTAGTTCACCTTGTTCTCTGTCTTATTTTTCAGGACCCTTGAAACCAGAAATTACCATAACTTACATTGCTGTTTCAGCTATATTCTTTAACAGTGGACTCTCCTTAAAAACTGAGGTACTATAATTTCTCATTGCTTCATTCTTGTTTTGCTTTAAACGTTTTATGTTGTTTTTGATCAGCTTTGAGTGTAACTTGAATATTTCATTACTATGCTGTTGTTGTTCATGCTGGGAGAATGGCTAACAACAGAAGATAAATATTAGACACTTAGGGAATAACCTTTCCTTGTTTTCAGAAAACTCTTCACAAAGTAGTGAATGTGATAAGAAGGAGAGTATGAATAAATTTCACCCATCCATAGAGGATGGGTTGCTTGACTTTGCAGAGCTTTGACTAAATGGAAGTGGTGAGCACGATTTTGAGACTGGATCTACACCTGAATGTGTCCCAAATCCAAATTGGGGTGAGAGCCAGGAGCACACTAGCACCCACCTTCTGCCACCCTTGGCTTCCCCACTGCTCAGTTGAGATGCAGGCCAGAAAACTCTTTGAATCCTAGGGTAGAACTTCATAGGGAGCTAGGCAGAGAGGGGCTGTGTGAAGTCTCCAAGCATCTGTAGGACACGAAGAATCATGGAAACATTCAGGTTGGAAAAAACCCGTAAGATCATAGAGTAAACCTAGCACAGCCAAGTCCACCACTAAACTATGTCCCTCAGTGCCACATGTACACATCATTTAAATACATCCAGGAATGGTGACTCCACTGCTTCCTTGGGCAGCCTGTTCCAGTGCTTGATAACCCTTTTAGTAAAGCTTTTTTTCCTAATATCCAATGTAAACCTCCCCCTGACACAACTTGAGTCCATTTCCTCTTGTCCTATCACTTTTTGCTTGGGCAAAGACATCTATACCCACCTCACTATAACCTCCTTTCGGGTAGTTGTAGAGTGTGGCTCCCCTGAGCCTTCTTTTCCCCAGACTAAACAGCTTCAGTTCCCTCAGCTGCCCCTCATAAGACTTGTGCTTTCTGTGCCACTCTCCTTCATTTCACCTGCTAGTATGCTATCCAAGCAAAACTATTTAAGGCTAGTTGCTACAGGAGTTATGCAAGCAAAGATCTGGTGGCTTGAAGTTACCGTGTTGGGTCGGCACAGGACAGCAGCTAGTATCAGCACAAAAGGGTTCCTCTGCAGATGCAAGGCCAGTGTACAGGTACGAAGTCTTGGCAATCTTTTCCCATAGGATTTAGTTGTGGACAGGTGGACTCGAAATGCCTGTGCTTTGCTGCATATTACATATGTTGAGACTTGTTTCAAACTTTGTGTCACACACTTTACAGAGAGGAACAATTTGGGGGTAAGAAGACATGAAGGGGAAAACCTCCTAGTGATATGTAAAGGAGGTATGGAGAAAGGAAATTATGGCTGTGTGCCACCACACACACAGAAGGAGCAACCAGAATGGAAACATGTCTCAGCTAGTCTGGTTTCTTGATTCCTTTTACACTGCTGGCATTCGTATGTTGCATGATACTAATGCCTAAAAGAGTCATCATTATATTGTCCAGTATTACATTATCTTCTGGGCAAACTGGGATTTGGATGAAGAGCCTGCATTCAACAAAAAAAAAGTCTCTGCACCTGTGTCATAGTTATGGTGAGAAAGTTTCAAAGGGAGGTGGCGTTTGAATTGATGGCAGTGCTCTTCTCCTGTGTCTGCAGGCAGTTCTGACACTAGGGCCTCTAATTCTGCCGGGACATGATATAAGTGAAGTGAGTAACTTCAGTCAATTCTGTAGCAGCTATTTAGAGCCTTATGGGGAAGCAGGAGGAACCATGTTAGTTATTTGCCTGAGACAGTAGTTCATCCTAATGGAAACAGGCTGCAGAGAGGCATTTTCTTCCACAGGGAAGAGGACCTGAAACACAAAGCTGGAGTTAGTACTGATGGAGTGGAGTTTTCTGCTTTCAGGGCTAGGAAACTTTGCATGCAGAGAAAAAAATTTATAACTTCTTTCCCTTTCAGTACTTTGTATCCTTGGAGCTTTGTATTTGTAAAGCAACTGTGAGAGTGTGAAATCTGTAGCATTATCAAAGGATTGATTAGATTCTCAAAGCTAGCACACATCTAACCTTTTCCAGTTAAGGTGACGTGGCATGACAGGCAGGTTCCTTGGCAACGTGTCATGTCCCACTTCATACTTGCATAACATTCTTTCATCTGTAGTTCTTAAAGTAATACATTGATATAAATGAAGCTTTTACAGGAGCTGATGCTCATGTGCAGCTAGCTAACTCGAATTGTTTTGGAAGCATCAGTGAGGACTGGTGCTGTACATCCAGCTCTATGTTCCATCAAGAAGCTAAGCCTTTTCTGAAATTCTGACATGCAGGTAGAAGATAAAGAGGAAGAAAAGCATTTCACTCCTTGTACCTTGCGCTATTACTTTTAAAAATGTATGTTAAAAACAGTCCTTAAATATGTTAGGAGCCCGGGTCATGATGTTATTAAAACAATTTGGAGCATGTTCTAATTGTTTAGGCACAACCTAAAATTGGCATTATTAGTCAGTTAACATATCTTTTTATTGGATTGCGAAGTAAGTTGTTTCTGCTTTTGTCTTTATTAGTTCTTGACCTGTGTGTTAGCTGTTCTATCTTGGGTAATATATTGGTTAGATTGAAACTAGTGTTGAATATGCTTTATGAAATGATAAAAGTTGTGCAAGTATTAACAGAGGCCTTCTGATAAGTCTGACAAAATTAGAAAAATCTAATCCTCTTTTAAGATTATATTTCTGATTTTAACTGCAATGGAAGTGCATGCTCAAAAAAGATTTGCTAACATGCATTGAGAAAGCGTTTGGCAAAATAATTGGCAGCATTCGGGGAGAGCCTGTCTGTGTCTGGCCTTGTTATGTTTTCAAATCTAGAGGTGACTGAGGTCCTCTTACATTTGTAGAAATAGTCTGTGTCTAAGAATGACAAAAACATTTGATTGCACCTTAATATAGTGCTCTTTCAGTTTTCAGTGAGTAGCTTGCTCTTTTAAAGCAAATACCTGCTGTAGGGCACGAGAAATTAAATCACATGTTTGAATTATCTATTTCAATGAGGAATTTGGCAAGCCACTGAAAACTGTTTGGTCTGTGTGGATATTTGCCCGAAGGAGTACAGCTATGACCGTCATGACATGACTGGGTGGCAACAAGAACTCATGCTGACCAGTGAGAGGCTAGGATGAGCCCTTTGAAGGATCTGAAATATGGGGAAAGACAAGATAACCTGTTCTATTTGGTGTGCAGAAGCTGAGTCAGAACTAGCAGCTTCCAGTGACATTTCTGAGATTTCTCCTTTTCTTGAGGGCTACAGTGGTGGATGTATTTTGGGACAAGCACTTGTAGATTGCTTAAGAAGGTGAAGTCTGTTAACCTCAGTGTTTGTTCTATGATAATACAGTCTTGTCCTGGTTTTCCTGGGATTGAATTGTAGAATTCCCTTTTAGTAATTTTGCAGAGCTGGATTTCTGAGAAAACTGGAGTGTTCAGTTTCTTTGTTCACTTCTTCACCAGTTCACTTCTTTGGAGTCCTCTCACTGCTTTTGAGGAAAGACACTATTTAAATCTTTTTTTTTCTCAGTTTTCGGTGGTGGTTTGCACCTTATTTCTCTGAATTTTGTTGCTTAGCTGTTGTTAGCATATTATGGTCTCATTATTCTTTCTTTGCTATTTTCCATAAGCCTATTTTTTTTCCTATTAATTTGCTATCTGTTGATAACAGAAATAATCAAGATCTGCTACAAATGGCTTCGCTTTTTATGTTTGTTAATCTTTCTTTAAAAAAAAACCAAAACCACCACAAATTATGACTGTTTGCAAAGTAAACATCCCCTTTTCATGGTATAAATGAGAATCACAGTTTGTAGCTCTCTTTTAACTGGAGAAACCTGAAATCACATGGATGCTACAAATTTCCCTTCATCTTGATACCACCAGTCAGTAAAGTAAACAGGCCATCAGCATAGTTAACACAGGATTTGAAGCAGTGAGAAAGTGCTAAGGCTGCCTGCTGAAAAGCTACCGCTGTGAGAGCTACACTGCTGTTGAAGTGGTGGACAGTTCTTTCGGAAAAATGCCCAGGAGCAGACAGAGCTATTATTTGTCTGGATGTACTTCATTATTAAAGAGGAGATCAAACGATCCCTAAAGGTGCCTTTTTGACATGCACTGTCTTTGCATTATAAAGATTATCCTAGTTTTAAAAGCACAAATGTGATCTTACTTCAGCTGTTATGACTGCAACTTCTTCTCTTCTTTTTCTTTTGCAGGAGCTGACAAGTGCTTTGATGCATGTGAAACTACACCTTTTTGTCCAGATTTTTACACTTGTGTTCTTCCCAACAGCGATATGGCTCTTTCTTCAGCTATTATCAATCACACCTGTAAATGAATGGCTTTTAAAAGGGTATGTTTAAGCATAATGGAGTGAAATATATTTGTAGCTGTCTTCCTGAAGAACTGCCCATCCTGCAAAGAGTGTTTTAAGACTTGTACTGTGAACTGATTATGCTGGTTCTTTTTGTGCTTCAGTGCTTTGCCGCTGAACATGCAGTACATGCACAGGATTATTCTTTCAGGAGCCTGTTCTCATTTTTAGAAAGTCTGTTCAGTTAGTTTCATAGGTAGGGATCTTGCAAGAGGTTAGCTTTCTCTTTCACAAAACAGCTGAAGTGCTGTGCTGGATCTCAAGGATGGGGAGGAAAGAAAAGGAATAGTGAAGGAAAAACAGAACTTGGTGAATAAATAGTCTATGCCAATTGCTGGTGTTCTGTTTTGTTTTCAAACAGTCTGTGTTGAGCATCTCTTGCATGTGTCCAAAGTGGGGTTCAGTATCTGCTCCTAGCTAAATTATGGAAAAAAATATAAAAGAGAGTAAAATTTTTGTAGGAGGAGAACTTTGCAATGAGCAGAAGCTATGTTACACTGAAAACAATGCATTTTAAATCTTTGTTATACTCTGCCAATGTGTGCTCCCAAAGCTGTACTAGTGGTGCAGTAGTGATAAATGTTATGAAAAATCAAAAAAATAAAAAGCTTTTTCAGAAGCAGAGGTTGATACATAGCACCATGCAGCTATACTGGAATGTTTGGATGCAAAAATAAATTATTTTAGAAAACTACTCAAAGAATCCCCATTGTTTCTTACTGCTTGGTGAGACATTGCTTGGGGAGAGTCTCCTGTCTTATAAACATGAAAAGTTTCATCATTAAAGCCCTAAACCTAAAATAACTTTTTTTTCAAGAGACTTCTCCAGATGTTCCATCAAGTGTGAAGTGGCCCAAATGATACTGAAAAGGTGAAATTGTGACATAATTAAAAAGTTAGCACTGTTTTGCTTAACAGTATCAGTGCATCAAGGAAATAATAAAGTTGCTATACAATGTCCATTTCCACTTGGCTATTCATAGTAAAGGTTATTCTTTAAAGTGAAATCATTGTGGAGTTTTTCCTCATCTAGAACAGGCATGATTTTCTACAGTGAGCCAAAATTCCCTCCTAATCTGTGGGAGTCTCAGTTTCTGAAGTGCAAGGTACAAGAGACTTTTGTGCTTTTTGTTCCTTGCAGCACTTCTCATCAGTTCTTTTCTATGCCTCTTATGCCACTTTGGTTCGTAGTATTTAAGGTGCATGATCTGTTACATGTACAAGTATATGTGTATGCATAAACATACACACCTGTGAAACTGTGTGTAAACCTAGATATAACTATGTGTAAAACTACATACGTATTTTTTTAAAAGAAGAAACATGTGTTATGTGCATCTCCCTAAATGTGGAGCGTAACCCAGCCTCATTTTTCATGAAGGTTTGTCTGTGTTTTACCTGTGAGCTAGTGTACTCCTGTATGTTTCAAGCTGCCTTGCAAGCACTTGGTTCTTGAGTACTATTTCTGTTTTGGTCATATTTTGTCTTTTAGTGCAGTAACTGTAATATTGGGGATTTTAATGAAGGAATTTTAAAAATTATTTGAAAGAGTGCTTTCTTGATAAATGCCACTGTTAAGGACACTCAGAGCAGCAGCTATTGTGTGGCTCTGAAGGCCTCCACCACTGCAAAGAGAACCTGATGGAAGCTGTACCTGCAGTGCCTTGCAGGTGCAGAAGATACTGAGCTCAGTTCTAATTCTAGGATAACACATTTTAAAGCAGGTACCTGCTTGGCCTTACATAGGTGCATGAAAGAAGAGTGAGGAGTGCATGTGAGGAACTGCATGTGCCTTGGCTGCTCTGTGTAACCAGAAGTTCATCCTAATGCCCCACAGTTGTAGTTTTTATTCCCTAGAAACACTGAGGTATCCTAATGACAACAGGGGGAAACAAAACAGGCTTTGGCAAAGTTACTTCATCATCACACATCTTTAGCAGAGCTTGTAGTGGCAGCTAGTTGATAGTCCTCACAAAGTCCTGGAAAAATAGGCACATGCTCCCTGCTTTTGGCAGGGTGGCTCCCCTGGGGACTATAATTCTCAACTACCTCTCTACACAACGTTATGCCTAAGGGCTGAGAGGCAGATTCAGATGGTACTAGCTTTTCATCTGTTTCTACAATTTGGCTTTTCCTTCCTCTCTGTCTGGGATGATATTAAGAGGTTTGATGTTTTGGAATTATTTTGAAATATATAAAATAGAGGAGAAACTGACATCATGCCAAGCATCTTTTAAGTTAATTTTTTGTTAGCTGACTAGGTTTTGCACTGACAGGATCTCTTTGAAAAGGAGCATGAAGCAGTTTATTAGAGTTTGCACAGATTCACCTCTCCTCCCATTCTTAGCATGTAGCATTTGCAGCCAAGTGGTAAGGCATGAGATACGAAGATCTGTCACAAGATACGGCTTTGGTAGTTCCATATCTAAAACATGTGACTTCAAACCCTACTTCAGTTGTCTGTAATGTATCAGTAGAACAAGTATTACTTGTTGCCCTTCAGTAAGTGTTTGGACCTCTGATGTTAGTGCTTATAGCATGGTCTGAACCAGTGGAATGTTTCAGTTGGTTATTATCTATAGTAATCTGCTGGCCATTAGAGAAACTTGTTTGTATACTGGTGCTGTTACATGTAGTCGATACAAAGCAAGAAAAAAAACAAGTGCATGTTTCAATATACCTGGTTAAAAGTATTTCCATTTAGTATGTACCAAGCCTTTTTGTAGATCAGTATTTTCATATGAAGAATATTTAAAACCTTGGTAGCTTGATAGTGGTTTTTTTTTTTATTCCAAATGTATTATTTTAAATTTGAGAAGGTTCACAGAATTTGTGTTATTAAACCTTTCTCTTATAGTGTGGAAAATCCCTGCCAGCTGAGATGAATGCACTCATACACATTTCTTACCTGTCTGGATAACTTTGAACTTATTAGTGCAGGTGAGAAGGTCAAGAAGATGAGTGCCAAGAGACCACATACAAGAGAGAAAACAGTATCACAACTGATGTAGAGGATAGACATCAAAATTGCCATGTGTTTGTTTGCTGTATATTTTCATGTTCATTTTATTTCACCATTTCTTTTTCTGTATTTCTTTTCTTTTCGATATGAGCTTATCCTGCTAAGTGCTGACAACTTTGCCTCCGTAGCTTACTTCCCTGTGAACTAAAGGTACTATATACTTCCAAGGTGGTACTTGGCACATTGTGATTGGATTTATATAATTGCTTACATTGGTTGCCTCTTTCCTTTTCCACAGTGTTTGTAGCTGACAAACTGAATGCTGTCATTGTCATTTACCTGTTTCTTTTGTTTGTTTGTATATTTGCAGCATATCAATTGCACTACAATATGCTCCCTGTTGTTTGGATTTGATACTTCTGTTTGCTGTAGCTTTTTGATTGTGCATTTCTCGGGGATGGACTAACACAGTTACAAGTGTGAAGTAGTTCACCACTAGTAGTTGATTGTTCTGAACTAGAATACTGTCTTAAACTCCAGTGCTTGAAAACATATGTAGATTCCATGCTTTTTCTTCTAAGTCAACACAGTTTTTCTTCAGAAGGCCTATTTTACTTAGTCCCAAACTGAATTGTAATCTATTGTGGTATGTTGTTCTTGTTTCGAAATACACAATGGATACAAATAATTTTTGTAAAAACCACTTTTTGTGGACTGTCTTAAAAAACCAAAGAAAGCTCCCTTTTTTTTTTTACTTTGCAACAACATTTACTGCATACATCAATAATTTTGCTGCACAGATGATAGAAGATATGACAGATAATGTATTTTACACTTCTGAAATGCAGGAGAAAGCTTTTGACATTTTGAGTAATGGAAGTCAGGTGATTTTGCCATGAAGTGGAAGCATTCATAAAAATTAAACACTTGATGGTCTTTTAATGTTCAGGAAATAAAAAGCTTAATTGTGTTGTTTAGTTCATTTTTTTTAATTTTCCTTATAGTAGGGCTTGATGAAAAACAAAGTGTAATGGGAACCTGAAATAGTGAGTGTGATTCTTCTTCTACTTAGCAGTAAACACTGAATGGCTTTTTTCCAGAAAACAGGAGTTTACATCCTTATTTTCTTTTTTTCCCAAATATTTATAGGTATCTCAAAACACACTATGAACCTTACTGTATCAGGACACATAGAATCATAATGGTTTAGGTTGGAAGGGACCTTAGAGATCATCCAGTTCCAACCCTCCTGCTGTGGGCAGGGACCTCCCACCAGACCAGGTTGTTCCCTGTCCAACCTGGCCTTGAACACCTCCAGGGAGGAGGCATCCACAACTTCCCTGGGCAACCTGTGCCAGTGTCTCACCACCCTCGCAGTAAAGAATTTCTTCCTAATATCTAGTCTAAATCTACCCTCTACCAGTTTAAAGCCATTTCCCTTTGTCCTATTGCTACTTGCTCTGGTAAATGGTCCCTCCCTAGCTTTCTTGCAGGCCTCCTTCAGAAACTGGAAGACTGCAATATGGTCCCTCTGGAGCCTTCTCTTCTCCAGGCTGAACAGCCCCAGGTCTTTGAGCCTGTCCCCACAGGGGAGGTGCTCCAGCCCTCTGATCATTTTTGTGTCCCTCCTCTGGACCCACTCCAAACAGCTCAATGTCCTTCTTTTATTGGGGTCCCCAGACCTGGACGCAGTATTCCAGGTGGGGTCTCACCAGAGCAGAGTAGAGGGACAGAATCACCTCCCTCGCCCTGCTCGCCACACCTCTTTTGATGCAGCCTAGGATGTGGTTGGCCTTTTGGGCTGCAAGCGTACATTACCAGCTCATGTTGAGTTTTTTGTCGACTGATTCCCTCAAGTCCTTCTCAGGACTGCTCTCAAGCCATTCTCTGCCCAGTCTGTATTTCTTTGTGATAGATGTGTAGATTATCTTTGTGAATAGTAGAAGCAGTACTACAGATGGAGAAATGGAGTCAAAGAGAGGTTAAGTGTTCAGGTTTTTAAATGATGATGTGACTCTTCACTGTGGTGGTTGGTAAGAAATGGCACAGGAATCCTGCCAGCTGGTGCAAGGCTGTAACTAATGCAAACTGATTGAGTTGTGCAGGTGATACAGTGGTTCTTTCTACTCAGCAATTCAGTATTTTAAGGCTTTATGTTGCATAGTGTTTCCAGTGTGTGAGGAATGTAACATTTATTTTTGTTGTTTTTAGCTTGCAGACAGTAGGCTGCATGCCACCTCCCGTGTCTTCTGCAGTAATTTTAACCAAAGCTGTTGGGGGAAATGAGGTGAGTTTTCTTTTTGTTCTTGAATGCTTTTTTTAAACAAGTTCAAACAAATACTTAACTTATGATGAACTCGTGGCAAAACACTGACTGAAATGTGATGTTATTGTTGTTTGTGAAAACTTCTGGAATTAAAGCTTGGGTATTGTATTGGTTTCAAATAAGGGATAGAGTTGTTATCTGCTGGCATTCGTCAAACTGAGAGAAGCTTAGTTTTCTGAGGTGACAGAAAGATTTGTGGTAGAAGTTGATGTTAAGAGATTCCTGCTTGTTCCTGCACTGTAATTCCTAACATTCATATGCTGTGTACTGGTTATCTCATAGACCATTAGCTTTGTGGTGAAGAACTGCCCTTGCAGTGATTGCTTGGATAGTGTTTAGTATTAAAAGGCCCTATAGTAGGCATTTGTCAAGCTTGAAGCTGCAAATGTAGCAAGTGAGATGGAGACAAAAATTAATTTAAATCTTATATTGTTATTTGAGACTCCATGAAATGAAAATTTAGGAAATGCGTAGTTCTCTGACAGTCATGTAATGCAAAGCTCTCAACAGATAGGAAATACCAGAATTGAGGTTGTTTCTGCAAACTCAGTTTGGTCACGTTATATTTCTGCCTTAAAATGGCACATTCGGATGTAACTTCAGACTCTTTCTTTATCCACAAAGCACTTGCTATTTTCAGGAAGACCAAAGAGACGACATTTAGGAAATTAATCCAGGTGTGCTAATTAATGAGGTTGTTTTCTTTAGATCTACTTCCTCGTAACTGCTGAAGGTGAATTAGACTTAGGTTAGGAAGGGAGAGAATAACACCAAAAGAGATTGGGTTTAAAGCTGGGGTTGTTGGGGTGCTGTTCTAGAGTGCTAGAGCCAAATCTTAATTTGGCCATAGAGCTCCTGTGTGTGATTGGGTGAGTCACTTCAATCACATTTTTTAAATGTGGCCATTAGTTGTGTACTTCTCATTTTCTGAGTTCGGACTCTTGGGACCGATTAATGTCAGCTTTGAAAACACATGATAGCACTGAAATAGGTTGAAGTTGTACTTTGTACTGACAAAGTGTAGTTTAATTGCTCTATCCTCTGAAGAGAGACCCAAAGCATCTCAAGTCAAGCATCTCTAATTACAGGCAATCCTGATGCACATCACTGTCTCCCAGTTTGCTACCTGAAAACAAGGATCATAAAATTGTCTGTTGGGGGTGCTGTGAAGTAGGTAGTATAAGGAAATAATTCAGGTACATAATAGTGATCAACAGAGAAATAAGAAGTTTTCTAGTTATGATTCTAGATGTAGATGCTGTAAATTACACGAAGATGCCACACAGTGAGCAGTGAGGATGAAATGAAGTATTGAATGAGTGCTCATTCACTGTTAGCCCTGTCTGTCATATCCTTAGAACAAGGAAAAGATCCTCTGAAAAAAAATAAGGTGTGATTAGTTAGTTGAAGGCAATATCGTATAGCATTTGTGTGCAGGGAAGAGACACATTTTAGTTTCTTTACAATTAGAGTTGACTTTTTTATCGTAGATTCTTCTGGGGTAGTTGGAGGTGTGTGCATTTTATACTGGTTGAAAAATTGAAATTTTCTATCATGTGAGGCTTGTGTAAATAATTATATAAATCACTGACAAAGTAATCTTGTACCTCTAACTCTTCTATACCAAACTGGTGTTGCAGGAATGTAAAAATGTGTACCTTGTTAGTGATTTTTATGGATGGTTGCTGACAGCAGAGACAAAGTGGATCAAGAGTTGAGTCTTGGGAATTGAGAGTTCTCAGTCAGGCTCTAGAAAGGTATACAAAAGAGAAACACCCTTTAAACATGTCCAGTGTAGACAAAATATGTGGCAAATATATTGCCAAACCTGAATAAGTTTCCAGTGCAAACATATTTTTGGAATCTGATGCTTCTCTGTCATTCAGACTATTGTTGTTTTTTCTTCTGAAGAACAGGAAATCACACCCCTCATGTTAAGGTAGAAGAGCCTCTCATCTATCATCACCAAATTTCACCTGAGCTGTTATTGATATATTTCTCTTTTTGATGTAAGCAGAACAATGCATTTTTTTTTCATTTTAATTTACATCTATTTTGATATGTGAAGAAGAATTTAAATCTGGAAATCGACTGGAAATATAAGTGATTGTACTGTGAGAGCATTTGTTCATAATAATGTCTCTTAAACTGCTTTTGCCTCATCAAGTACGTATCCCTTGCCTAGAGAAACTGATTTGTCTGAGGGTGTATCTGCACTGCATAATGTAATACGAAGGTAAACGAGCTTGCTCGGAAGCAATATAGTGAGGGAGCTCCACATGAGCTAATTAGTCTGAGAAGTGTCCTGCTGCTGTAGGGTAGAGGTACACTCTGAATGAGTGCTCAGAAGACCTCTTTAGATTTCTTGAAACACAGCACATGAGGGCTGTGGTAGTTGACTGTGTTATGACAATATAGAGTGGTTTAGATTTTCTTTATGAAAGTAAAAGTGACTGCTGAATGTCAGTTTGAACTTGAGTTACTCTCAAAGAAATATTGGTGTCTAAGGAAGATGTGGTCACCAAAGCTGATACTAAGAATTCTGATTAAAGTGTTCATCACTGAAGAAGTTAATGTTTTGGGATTGTAAGTACAAACCCAGATAAACAAAAAAATCTCAATTATTTAACTGTCAGTGTTTAATAGCAACTCTACAACCTGCCAGTGTTTGTTTTCCTGATGGTTCAAACACATGGTATATCAAAAAGTGTATCCAAGTTTTTAAGTCCTCTTGATCTGTGCATAAGAATACAACAGCTGAACAGTTACTTAAGAGTGCAAATGTAAAATTATCCAAAGCAAAAATAAGTCTTCCTTCTTCCTCTACATCATTTAATAGGGGGAAAAGATGTCTGTAGCTTTACAAGAAAGAAATGGAAAGACAGCAAACAGATAATCAGACTGAAAACCAGTAGCAGATTTTATAGGTGTGTGGGAAATTTTTATTGTAGTCAGTGGAGGAGAAATCCAGTGTTGGCATTAACAGAGTGGAAGAACAAAAGATTCTAGCTGCAAAGAAGATAATGGAATGACTTGGTCACTCAGTACTGCTTGTTAATGAGACGTAAGGCAGACTTTTCAAATCTCATTTGCTCACATATTGCCATTGATAGCAGTGGCAGCAGCAGAGGTGTTTGACTGTTCAAGACGGTGTTTCTGTACCACTTCAGAATAGCTTGTGTGCTACTAGTGATATAGGTACCATGTTTTGAAAATGTCTGATACACGGCATTGTAAGGTATTTACATGTGGCTGTTGGAAGAAGATGTGGTGGAGATTATATTTCAGTCCAAAGACCTACCTATAAAAATTCAGACTAGCTGTGAGCTAGTATCATTCCATCCAGAGAAGTGTTGGCAAATGAGATATAAGTGATGGAGAGGGAAAATTTCTGTGCTTTCTGGAAGTGTTGGCTTTTGGAGGAGAGGAAGGTGATTAATGGTTATTCTTTCTTTTGTTTTGGTGGAAGTAGCTGTTCTTGCTGTGATGAGCAGAAATACAACTTGTCTAGCAGGGCTTCAGTTTTATACCTGTTGACTATGTGACCCGTTCTTAAATTTCTTCAGCCCCTTTCCCTGGTCTCTGTATCATGTGTGGTTTGTTCTCTCAGCTCTCTTTCAACTCTTACTTCTTCTCTGTTTTTCCCTCTTCACCCTGATTTTCCACCACTCTTCTTGTGATCTCTTCTTCTATGATGTTACTTTCCTTAACCCTGCAAACAACTTTCAAAGCCTATTCCTAGCTTTTGTTGCAAATACATTTAGTTTGTTAGCAAAGCCAGTTTCAAGTACTGAATTTAATTAGATGCATACGAAACACTGTATGAATAAAAAAATGTTCATATTTACACTGGGAAAAAATAAGGAGGGATCACCATGAGAAATCAAAATCTGGTTTTTAATTTGGTGTTATTTTCTCAATTATTTAATTGTTTCTGTCATCAATAACACTTATGAAGTCTTTTGATTTGTGAAGAGGACTGTCCATGTAGTTGAAAAAATTGGAATGAAAAACAGATGACCTCACTTTTGTTTTTGTTGAGCCATGAAGGGTCAGGACTTTAATGATGTTATAGCATCTGACAGCACAGAAGGCTCTTCTGTGTAATTTTTGTCAAAAAGCCTTGTAGTTTTTCAATGAAATTATTTACCCCATTTATTTAAAAGTCTTCTTCTATCTATCCGTCTCTGCAAGGAAGAGACAACTAAATACACCAGCATTTCAAGGTGTATTCAAAGACAAACCTATTCAAAGCTCAGAGATCCTCGGACAGAAATGCTGTGAAGATGCCAAATATTACTACAAAGTATTCAGACAGTAAATGTCATCCTCTCCTTAAGAATCAAAGTAATGAAGAAAAGAGGTTGAAAATTATATCTATAAGTCTATTACCAGTTTGGGTGAAAAAACAATTTGTGATGACTTTTATGGCAGCTCAATTACATGTTTTAGAAAAATGTAACATAACAGGCAAGAGCTGATGGAATTGTACAGATAAATCGTGCCAGACAGTTCATTTTATTGAAGAATACTTTGGCTATTTTGCTATCTCATATACAACAAAACCATTGAGGAGTTTTGGGGGTTTTTTAGTGTTTTTTTTCTTTTTTTCAGTTAAGCTGTAGCTTGTACAAAATCTCTTAATCAAGGTAATGTTTTATATTTTTGGCAGCTTTCATATGGATCTTCTATGCCTTTTGTAAAACAAGGTGCTGCATATGCGAGACAATATTTTGAAATATAAAGTAGACTATAATGAAGAAAGCTATTTATTAAGTAAGATATGAAATAGGGAAGGAGTTCTAATATTGACTTTTAGATCTGTTTTTTTGAGGCAAATGCAGAACTTAAAACTGAATATAAATTTGCGAAGACCACAGCTAGCCATTCTGGAAAATAATGAAGAGAGAGTAGTAACATTTTGCCAACCGATTGGATACAATAGTTTTAACTGGTATTCT